CCTATATATCACCCGTCTATTGCAAGTGAGTTGTTGGCATTAATAAAAATGCATTGCTGTTGAATGAACTGATTTTGTCCCCTGCTATTTGCCTGTTTGCACCTCTGAGATCAAACGAACCATCATGACCCCTGCTCTGTATTAATAGTGGATTGTGACAGGTGGCCACCAAACAAACACAGAGAAATCATTGTGACACTGAAACCGTGGTTGGAAGAAGAGGTAACAGGTCTACCCAGTTTCATAACAGTAGTCAATGACCTGGTCTATCTCATTAGAAAATGGCCTTGTCAGACCAGGTCTACCTTGCTACAAAGCGGCTGCTGGAGACCAGGTCTACCTGGCACTGTCCGCCAGCTGCCGCTGGAGATGGTGCTGCAGCAGTGGGCGATACTGGGGTGAGCAGATCTACCCTGCTGCAAAGCAGTTGAAGAAGGCCAGGTCTACCCTGCACTGGGGCTTGTGGCGTCTGCCAGTCACCACTGGAAAAGGCACCATGGTGGCAGGATTCTTGGGGTGGACAGGTCTACCCTCCTCCGGCGGGACTTAGGCAACTTTCAGTAGGGTCTGGGTAGACCTGTTGTCCCCACCAGGCCTGGAAGTTCACCAAGGGGTCATTGTTTCTGGCTGCCTCCAGCTGTGTCATCGTAGTAGGCGGTGTGCGCCACTGTGCCCTCTTGGTCATGTACAATTGGTTCTCTTGGAGGCATCTGCAGCCTCGGGCTCATCTGTCCGTATTATGGGAGCAGGTGGTGAGTTGCATCCCCGTAGGCTGTTACCGTGCCTGTGTCCAAGGTGGAGAAGGGGGCCACGCATGTGGTCTCTGGAGCAAGAAAAGTACCACCAATGTGGCATAAGTCATGTGACTTTGTCTGGGTTCCTGTCTTACCTAGCTTACTGGGACAGATTAGTCGAGAGGTGATGCAAGAGCTGCTACCCAGCCGAGGTGAGGTGTTGAGGCGGGGGGGGGGGAGAGAGGGAACCTGCAAGTGTATCCCGCTCTGGCCTGGCCACTGCTGGCTTTGTGAAGGGGGGGCAGGCGTCCGCTCGCTCCTCCTCGGGGATGGTGGCAGGCAAGGTGGCCGCACCTCATCTCTTTTCTGCCTGGTCTTAAGCTGAGGCCCACCCACTTGGTGGGTGTGGTGTTTTCAGCTGTTGGTCTGGTGTGGTGACCGGTGACTGGTGGCCGGCAGCTGGGACTGGACTGTGGCCAGGGTTGTGTTGAGCCCACCGAGGCTTTCCCTGGCCCCTTCCCCAAGAGCCCCTGAGCATGGCTTGCTTGGCTGAGGTGGCTGCACCTTGTTCCTTGCTCCCGACCTGTTTACCAGAGTGTCCGTGTCAGAAGGGAAGCGGGGACGTGCAGTGGGGCGTGTGGCCTCGCCTCAGCTTTGCCCACTTGCCTGAGGGGCTTGGTGATGGGAATCACCCGATGAAGTTTGAGGGTCAGGGGGGCAGCACCCCATCCCCGCTGTGTGTTGTTGAAGTCATCCCCCTTCCTTGTTCCTAAGCCGGGGACCTGCGTAGTGAGTGGAATTTTTCAGGGTTGGTGGTGGCCTGAACCTGCCGGAGATCCTCCGAGAATGTTGTGGGTGAGGCGGAAGCACCTCACCCTTTCTCGCTACTGGCCAGTGCGATCGAGCCACTGTGCCAGGCGGCCTGTGGTATCTGGCCTGCCTCAGCTGCTGTGGTTACTGGCAGGCTGGGTTGGGTTGCAAGCGGCTCTGCTTTTTCAGGCGTGCCAATGTGCGGGGTGGAGTGTGGTCACCCGCTATGACCACTGCTCTTTTTGTTTTTCTCTTGCAACCCTAAGCTGTGGTACTGAGAAGCACAATGACAAAGGGTCACGAGTCATGAAAGCAAAGATGAGGGCAGAAGGCAGAGAGAGGCATCTGTGGAGCAGTTGGGGGGATTGGGAGGAGTGGGCCTTGCCTCTACCCCTGGCCCATGACCCCTGTGGCTAGCACAGGTCATGTGCTTCGCTGTGCTTTTAATTTTTTTTTTTGTTGTTTCTGTTCATTGGCTTTTTTTGTAAGGAAAGGCGATAGATGCGTGAGGCTTTGGATTTTTCACCCACTGATAGGGAACATGAGCTTGGTTTAGACTATTGTGAGACAGGTTAGTTTTACCCTACTGATGATGTGTTGCAATAGTAATCCTGCTCAGTATGAGAGGGACTGCAGGTTCAGACCTGTCATGTGTGTGCTTGGTTGAGGAGCCACTGGCACAAGGCTACCATCTGCAGGCTTATGACTAAACGCCTCTAAGTCAGAATCCCGCCTAGACGTAGTGATACTGCAGCGCCCCTGCAGCGGTGTGCGAGTGGCAGTGGGTTTACCTTCACCGTGCGTGTGTGTGGTGTGAGGGGATCTGTCCGCTGCTGTCTCGGGGTGGGAAGGTAGACCTGGTGCCTCTTGGCGCTGGGCCAGGCAGCTGCACTTTGTGCCTCTTGTGCTGTGTCAGCAAGTATCATTGGTGGGCATTTGGAAGGCCTAGAGGGTTGTGTGCAGTGTCCTGTCTGATGCCTTCCCATCCTGGTGGGATCTGGATAGACCAGGCCCCTGAACTGGACTTGGCCACCTGGTGAAAGGAAAGAGGGTAGACCTGTTGCTGCCAGCCAGTCTTAGTCTTTGGCAGCCTGTAGTGACGTAGACGTGTTTCCCTCCACCAACCTTGGTATTTGGTGGCCTGTTTAAGAGTAGACCTGTTGTCCTCCGCTGGCCTTAGTCTCTCTTAGTCTCTGACAGACTATTGCTGGGTAGACCTGTTGCCCTCTGCTTATTTTAGTCTAGCCAATATCTAGGTAGACCTGTTATCCTCCGCCGTTCTTAGTCTCTGGCAGTCAATGACAGGATAGATCTGTTGTTGTCGGCCAGCCTTGCTGCCTGGCTGCTGAGCGATGGCTCTGTGTCTCTTCAATCGGACGCGTGACCCCGTTGCCCTCTCCAGAACAGCAGGTGGCCTGCAGATGAACATGGGTAAGACAGTTCTAAGTGATAGGAGAGCGCCGTTCTGAAAGGGCGGGCGATGGCCTCCGTTGCCCTCAGCCGATTGAAAGGGAGTCAGGTTCAGATCCCCAAATCTGGAGTGGCAGTGAAAGGCGCTGTGAGGCGCCCAGTGCGGTGATGAAACCAATCCCGGAGAAGCCAGTGGGAGCCCCGGGGAGAGTTCTGTTTCTTTTGTGAAAGGCTGGGCACCCTGGAATGGGTTTGCCCCCAAGAGAGGGGCCCGTACCTTGGAAAGAGTGGCGGTTCCGGCAGCATCTGGTGAGCTCTCGCTGGCCTGTGAAAATTCAGGGGAGAGGTCTCAAGCCCAGCTGTACCCATATCCGCAGCAGGTCTCCAAGGTGAACAGCCTCTGGCATGTTGGAACCAGGTAGGTAAGGGAAGTCAACAAGCTGGATCTGTAACTTTGGGATAAGGATTGGCTCTAAGGGCTGGGGTCAGGCTGGGGCGTGAAGTGGGGCTGGCCATGTGCTGTGGCTGGATGCAGCGCTGTGAGGTGCAGGTGAGTGTGCTCTGTGTGGCCCGCCCGGGTGCTGGGGTGTGCGCACACAGTGGCAACTCTGGACATGTGCTGGGCCCTTCCCATGGATCACCCCATCTGCAGTGGGTGCCACTTGCCCTCCCCCCCCCCCCCCGCCTGCCATCCTCTATGCCGTGGCCGAGCGGTATGCACTGGAGAGGGTCCCAGTGGGGGTCTCCAGGCTGGCGCCCCACCTTGACTGGCGTCTAGCAGCCAGCTTAGAACCGGTGTGGACCAGGGAAATCCGACTATTTAATTAAAACAAAGTTAGACCCTGTTAGGGTCGATACCTGGGAGTTATTGCTTGTTTTTAAACTACTTTTTAAATCCAAGATCAGCTGATATGAACAATGTCCTAGTTCCACATCCTAAAAATAATAGTGTCATCCTTAATTCTAACTCACCATGGTATAAGAATGTGATTAAATATTGCCACAATTGGACTTATCCTGGAAGTGCGGTGAAAATGCGACTGTAAGAACGCTTCCTCCAGGTGTCTTTTTAATCTGTGGGGATAGGGCATGGCCCACAATTCCAAGTAGTTTTTTGGTGGGCCTTGTTATTTAGAAAAACTAACCATGTTTGCTCCTAGCATGCGTGAAATGATGAATCAGACCATTTGGAGTGTGGGACACAGCAAGAGAACTAAAAGAGAAATCACAGATTTGGGACCCGATTGCCATGATTACATGGAGTTTTGGAGTGTTCCAGCATGATAAATAGCATCAATTCTTTCTCCAGATGTTGCTGCTGCTCAGGCTGTGGCTACGCTTAATAAGCTGGGATGCTGGATGAAGAAACAACTCAACATAACTTCATCTATTTTGAAACAGATGCTCACTGATGTAGATAATATTAGACACAGCACACTGCAGAATAGAGCTACTATAGATTTTTTATTATTGGCACATGGGAGTGAGGATTTTGATTTTTTTGCATTAACTTCAATGACCATTCTGCATCCATTTACAAGAGGCTCAGACAACTGCAAGATAAGATGAAGAAGTTGACTGTGAATGACTGGGGTTTAGATGAATGGTTTGAGGGATGGGGAATAACTGGATGGTTGAGAGATATTAAGAAGGGGCCTTTGGTATTCCTATTAGTTATTATTGTATTGCTTTGTGTTGTTCCATGCATAATAAAACTGGTGATTTGATAGAAAATACAGTGAAAATGTCTGATTGGTGCAAGAAGAAGAAGAAGGGGGAATTGTAGCAATGTATTTGAATAGTTTAGGCCATAGTTTATACCAGATGCACCAGCCGAGCCATTTTTACCTGTTTTTCATTTTTAGCTGTTTTTCTGGTGTTTTATGAAACACTCTGGAATTCGTCAAAGCTACTGAAACAGAAATTGTGCTAAATTGGGAGAGAAGAAGCTGAAAAACAGAATACCAAGATTAGAAGAATCAAGATAAAGGTGGGTGGTGAAGCGCTGGACTGTAACCAATCATATTTCCTTCAAGGTGTGTGCAGAGTGTGTGGACAAGATAAAGGCACCAATCAAAAATGTGTAATTGTGTGGATAGTAATTTTAGAATGTATAGGTAGGGTATAAGGTAAACAATAAATGGGCTTCAACATAATGACATTGATTTGTCCTTCAGAAGTCCTTTGTTCCTGCACATGCCAGTCTGCCAAACTTAGCGGCAATTGACTTTCTACTTCTTGTCCATGGACATGGATGCCAGGACATTGAGGGCTTCTGCTGTTTTAATTCAACATCCCATTCTGAATCCATCTCAAAAAGCATCCAGTTGTTAAAGGAGCAAGTTCAGCAAATCCAAACTGAACAAACAACAAAGACCACCAATGCCATTAATGAACTCTTTGGACAATGGGGACTCAAAAGTAGGGCATTTCCCTTAGTCAAGGATGTTTTATAGACTTGTTGTCTTCTTACTTATGTTTTAATGTTTTTTGTGATGCTTCAAAAGAGTTCTGGGAGAATTTTTTTTAATAATAAAGAAGGGGGAGTTGTGGAGGCTGGTAAGCCAGCAGAGGATAAGTTTGCCACACTCCCCTGGAGGGACAACCCTTGAGCAACAACCTCTGAGGTCAAGGCCAGGGAAAAAAGCTTTCCCCAGAATGCATTCTTGCCATATGTTCATTCTATGTACCCATTGGCCCTTCCCCTTCGTTATGCCCTTGTGCACTCATCTCATTCATTCTGATGTTCTACCTTGCACCTCGCTATCCCTATATAAACCCCTGCTCTCTCTGCCTGGGAGAGTTCTTCATCCCTGGACCCCTTTGCTGCAAGAGCTCAATAAAGACTTTCCATGGAACCATCACATGAAGAGTCCATCCCTTCCTTCTGCATTGCTCAAGGCTGAAATCACCCCAAGAGCTGAAATCACTCAGTGTGGCCAAGAGTTACCTGTGCCCCTAAGACATCTTTCTAAAGAATCTTCTCTGGGAAGATCACAGCACTCTAGGACAGCTTTGCATCCTGGATTGAAGCTCCCAGCTTGGAAGGAAATCTCAGGGAAACTTCGAAGTGTCCTTATGTTGGAATTGCAGTAAGGGAGATACAGCTCCTTCCCTGGCTGCACTGACAGCATTGCCCGCAGTCACCATTGTCACCCTGAGCCAGCTGTGCCCCCTCCCAGAGCCCCCAGTGCCAGGCAGCTGCTCCCAGCCCTGTGCTCTGCAGAGGGAACTGGGCCCGGGGCTGTAGAGCTGCCCCACGGCTCTGCTGAAGCTCTGCCTGCACAGGAGGGGCTTCACACCTTGGACCCCCAGCCCTGAGGACAGAGGCTTGTCTGGGGACAGGAGGGAAGGGGCTTGATCAGAGGGAGGGGCTGCACTGCAGGGGATCCTATGGAGATCTCTAAACTCTTCCTGCCACAACATTTCTGGGTTTTGTTTTCTCTCATTTTCTGTTCTTGCCTCTGCTTCCAGGAGATTTTCCCCCTGGAGGTGTTACCCTGTGGCTGATGTTTCCCTGCCAGCACTCACAGACCTCAAATCTCTGTGCACTCTCCTTGGCCCTACAGAACCCTGCCTGTTTGCAGGGCACTGGCTGGGGCAGGTTCCGTTTGCAGCTTGGAGAAAGGAAAGGTTAGACTAAGCCAGATGGGTCCAGCAAAGGGGATGCTCACGTTGTCCATGTGTAGAGTGGCTGGAAGTACATTAGGAATCTCCTGTGAACATTCTGATCACTAAAAGTAACAATTCAGATGTCACAGGCGCTTGTCAAAATTCCTAATACCTTTAATATTCATCCCCACGTCCCTGCCATTCTCCAGTAGTAGGAAATTTAATAAAAAGTCTTAAGAAATGTCCTAATTTTAATAAAAATCCTTGTTTCAGAAATACTCTATGACTGATCAGAAACCCTCAGCATGTCAGACCTTCAGGAGCATTTCACCTCCCCTACACCAGAAATACTCAGAGTTGTACTCACAGAGTCTGTAGGCATTGGGATGTTCCAGCTTTAGGAGATCACTCCAGGAGCTGCAGCTGCCTTGTCCTGCAGCCCGAAGCTTCCTGTGCCAAGGGCTGGGAGTGATTCTGCCCCAGGCACTTCTCAGCATCTTCCCAGCCCTGACTGATTGAAGCTCTCTGTGCCTCTGTGCTGTGCCCAGGGTGGCTGAAGGCAGAGCCCCAGCCCTGCTGGGCTGTGCACAGGAGCTGCACCTGGGCAGAGCTGTTCCTCTGCAGCGCTGCCCTTGCCAGGAGCTGCCTCTGTGCCAGGAGCTAGGCCCAGCTCAGCAGCACAGACTCAGCACAAGGACTTTAATGACCCTCTTGGGGCTTTGGTGCTGTCGTCCTGAACATTAGTCCCTGAGAAGGAACTGCAAAAACCTCTCAAGAACTCCAAGTCAGAATCAAACTCCAAAATTTCTTGACGTTTTAATGGGTCCCACTGAGGGACACAACTGAGAAAGTGTCCCCAGGCCCCAATCAGAGCAGGAAATTGGAGGCAGTGATGACAGGTGGGGACAAAGAGAAGCCAAGTTGTGGTTCCCTCGGGCACAGCAGGGTCTGTGCCACCAAGGGCTGTGAGGAGACACCTTGTCCTGAGCCACTGGGGCCTCCTGGCACAGTCCCAACAAGGCTGGCCACTGTCACTCCCTTGTCCTGCCCTCATCCCTTCCCTACCCCACATCCCAGTGGCCTCACGGATCTGCTGGGACGAGTCCCTGGGGAGCCTTGGTCAGGAATGGCCCTTGGGGGCTGTTTAATGCTCCCAGGGATTGCATGTTTCTCAAAGGACTTTGAGTATTGCTTTAGTCTTGGAGTCTTTGAGAGCTTTGTGCAATCGTGGCCTCCAATTTTCTGCTTTAATTAGTCTCTTGAAAGACTATGCTTTGACACTCAGTGGGGCTCATTAATTCTTAGAGATACTCATGTTTTTTTAAGGTACTTTGGATTTTCCTTTTGACACCAAGACTCTGAGAGGTTCTTGTGCAATCCTGGCCTCCCATTCTCTTCTTCAAGGAGTCCATGAGGAGCCTGTGTGGAGGATGGACCTCAGTGGGACCCATTAATGCTTTGAGACATTTTGAGTTTTTCTTCTGACTTGGACTCCTGGGAAGGTTTGTGCAATCTCCTTTCAGGCCCTGAGGTTCAAGGGCTCAGCTACAATTGCAGCACGAGGCTCATTGGGATCAAGCAAGTCCTGACAAATCTTGATTTCCCTCTGGTCTGGTGCAGCTCACTGCACTGCTGCAGTCAGGGAGAAATATTTCAAAGAGCTTCTAAGAAATACGTATTCATATTTTAATGTGTGTATTTTACTACTGGTCTCTTTAGGGAGGAGGTGGTTGCAACATTTTGTGATTTATATTGATCCAGCAACTCTCCTCAGGAGGTCTGGCCTGCTCACAGAAGCTGTGCCTTGAGGTCTTGACCCAGTGTAGACAACCTTGTTCCACATTCCCCAATCCCATCCTGTCTGTCCTCACTCACCTGGGATCTGCTTTGCTTGGAGAACTGGCTGCACACAGCCAAAGGGAGTTTTTTTCCTTTTTAATTTTTTTTAAGCAATCTAGAACTTCTAATTTTCCCCATTACAAACATACACCTTCCCTTAGTGTGTGCCAGCCTAAGGTACACCAAGGAGGTTTCTCTTCCCAAGGCAGAGCCATGCAAGAACTGTTTTAGACCTTTGGACTGCTTGATTCCACAAAGCCTTGTTGTGTCACCATGGACTTTTGGTTCTGGAAGGTTCTGTAATGTCACAATGGATGTTTGGATCCATGGGGCCCACTGTGTCACCATGCAGTCTTAGTTCTGTAAGGTTCTCTAGTGTCACCATGGATGTTTGTTTCCATGTACCCCACAGTGTCACAGTGGTCTCCTTTTCCCTGGGCAACCAGCAGCAAACCCCACTGGCAGGGCCAAATGCCTGGGAAGAAGGAAAAGGGGGGACATTTGGAGTGATGGTTTTTGTCTTCCCAGGGCACAGTGACGTGGGGTGGGGCCCTGCTGTCCTGGAGATGGCTGAACACCGGCCTGCCCATGGAAGGGCCGAGAGACAACAACCTCTGTGCATGGAACTGCAACAGCAGAGAGCTCAGGCTGAAGGCTGGGTTTAAAAGACTGTCACCAGCACAGGAAACATCAATCTAAGAGGAAAGATGTGTGCTCATGTCTTTACAAATCACTTGATGTGTGAAAAGATGGGTGTTAAGGTGTTGGAAATGGGTCGAAAAATTTCTACTGACTTTGGGCAGCAGTTTTGTTACCGGGCCCAGCCAGCTTGGCTCCTGACACAGACAAGGGTCTGCACAAGTCTGAACTTTGAACTTTGGGGGAAATGCCAGGTTCAAGGGAGGATATGGGGTAGGTGGGTCAGGAAGGCTGTCCCTTCCTAGTGCCTCAGCCAGTGGGGAATGGAAGAGGGCAACATGCGGCCGGGAGTTTAGGATAAAAGGAGGCTGAGCCTTCTGGAACCTGGAGAGAGAAAACCCCAGGGACTTGTGACCTGGTGAACTCTCTCTTTTTATTCAAATAAAGTTGAAATTTCCTTTTTGGACATAAACCTCTGGCATTTACGGATTTTCCTGACGGTGACAACATGGAATCTCATGGAACCAAGTGTCCACGGTTTCAGGGCTCAGCCTCACAGAGCGCTGGAGACCATTGTGTCACAATGGGAACACATGGAACAAAGGCTCCACAATGACACTGCAGGGCCTCATGGAATGCAGGAGATCATCCTGATGGAATGGAAACTCATGGAACCAGCCTAGTGCAGGCAACAGGAGGAGAAACTGAGGCAGGACTGGGAGGCCATAGACACCTTACTGGGGGTACTGGTTTTTACTGGGAGGGGACTGGGAGGAACTGGGATGGGATTAAAGGGTTAAGAAGAGGGGGAACTCTTGGTTAAAGGGTGATTTTTGTAGTGGCTTATACTGGTTTGTACTGGTTTTGTACTGTTTTGGGACTGGTTTGTACTAGGAGGGATTGGGATGGACTGTGACAAACTGGGAGGGGATTGGGGGGACTGGGAGGTCACTGGTTTATACTGGTTTACACTGGGAGATCTCTGGGAGGTCACTGGGCCTTTCTGCAGAGTCACTGGTTTGAACTGGGGGTTACTGAGAGGGAACTGGTTTGAACTGGGAGGGTGACTGGGCCATACTGGGAGGTCAGTGGGAGTTATGGGGATGAACTGAGAAGTCCCTGGGGGGCGTTATTGGGATATATTGGGAGGGACTGGGAGGGGATTGGAAGGGCACTGGGATTTACTGGGGCTATACTGGTTCATACTGGTTTATACTGGTTTGAATTGGGATTTACCCGGCCAGCAGGGGGCACCTCATGCCCAGGTGTTATCTCTGAATGGAACTGGAAGTTACTGGGAAGAAACTGGGATTTACTGATTTATACTGGTTCATACTGTTTTATACTGGGATTCACCTGGCTAGCAGGGAGCACTGCCCACCCAGGTGCTGTCCCTCACAGGGTCAGTCCTGGTGGCCAGTCCCAACGTGGGCACCTACTGGAACCTGCAGAGACGTGCACGGGGAGCAGTGGGAAGGGTCTGGTGTGTACTGGTTTATACTAATTTGTACTGGTTTATACGGGTTTTGACTGGGAGGGGCTGGAAGGGCACTGGTTGGGACTGGGAGGGCACTGGGAGGGGTCTAGAGAGGGTAAAAAAGGGTTAAAAAGGAGTCTGTGGTTACTGGTTTATACTGGTTTATAACTGGTTTATACTGGGAGGGCACTGGGAAAGGTTAAAGGGGAACTGGGAGGGAGTGGGAGAGCCCTTACTGGTCTGTTCTGGTCCATAGTGGTCTGTACTGGTTTTTACTGCTTTATGCTGGGTTATACTGGCCTATACTGGTTTGCCTTATACTTATTTTTATTGATTTATATTGGTTTTTACTGGTTGTTCCTGGTTTTAATGGTTTGTACTGATTTGTACTGGTTTATAGTGGTTTATGTTGGGCTATACTGGTCTATACTGGTTTGCCTTTTTTTTTACTGTTTTATGCTGGCTTTCACTGCTTTGTACAGTTTTTTGCCACTGTTACTGTTTTGCAGCAGTCCATACTGCTTTTTACTGATCCATACTGCTTTTTACTGGTCTCTACTGGTTTGTATTACACTGGTTTTTACTGGTTTTCACTACTTATACTGGTTTGTAGCGGTCAATTCTGGGTTATACTGGTATGCACTGGTCTATAATGGCCTATAGTAGTCTATACTGGTTTGCCTTACACAGGTTTTTACTGTTTTTTACTAGTTTGTCTAACTTATACTGGTCCGTTCTGGTCTGTACCGGTTTATACTGGTTTATACAGGTTTCAGGGTGCCATTCAATGAGTAGACCAGGTGTCCCTAAATCTCCATTGACTTTAATGGGTAGACCTGAATTTCCACTCACCACACCTGGGTGCCCCCATTCAGATATTGGGGTGACCCTGCTGCCTCTCTGAGATTTTGAGGTGCCTCCGTTGCCTCTCCCAGAGCTGGAGCTGGTGCAGAACGCTGTCTTCACTGATCCCATGGACCAAAGCATCTGTGTGTACCTGTGCTGCACCCTTTCCAGAGATAACTCGAGGCTCCCACCCACCCCTGGGGCCCTCACCTGGAGTTTTGGGGTGCCCCCTGAATGCTGGGGTGCCCCCTGATAGCCCTCTGGCCACCGAGGGTCATCTGTGTACACGTTGACCAGGAGGACAACCAGGAGGTGGCCGTTATCTTCTCCCAATCCAACAGGGTGAGTTGGGGCACATGGGTGTCCCAAAAATCACCTGGATATCCCCCAAAATCACCCGAGTATCCCCAAAAATGGCTTGAGTATCTCCAAAAAATCACCTGGGTACCCCTTGGACACCTGGATCACGCAAAACCCCTGGGGCCCCCCAAAACTGATGTACTTAAATCCTCATTGCTTTGACTGGGGAGACCTGGTGTCCCTAAAAATCCCTTTTGACTTCATTGGGTAGACCTGGTGTCCTTTGATTTCAATTGGCTTCAAGGGGGTAGACCTGGTATCTTGTTTATCTACATTTATCACCATTAATCCTTAACAGTGGTCCCAGTTATGTTCCAGTGCTCCCAGGAATAGCTCCCTGTTTGATTAGTTTGCCCTCCCAGATCTCCCAGTAACCCCTCTCAGTGCTCCCATTCTGCCCAGTTTCCCTCTTTCCTCCCTTCCAGTGCTTCCAGTTCCCTCCCAGTGCTCCCCCTTAGCTCTTCCCAGTGCTCCCAGTTTAATGAGCAATCCTTCCCAATCAAGCCCTAATAAGGGGTAGACCTGGTGTTCCTAAATCCCCTTTGACTTCAGTGTGCAAACCTGGTGTCTCAAAATTCTTGGTGCTAAAAATCCCACTTTTAGACTCGGAATTCCCACATTTTGGGCTGAAAACAGAGATTTTTTGGCTTATCTGGAGGCAACAGCTCCACCCCAGGCCACAGGTATGGGATCAGGGATTCCAGATTGGCTTCCAGGAATTCATCCAGGACTTCCAGAGCGTCAGTACTGCAATCCTGAAGCAGAAATTCCAGGAATTCAACCCAAGATTTCCCTCAAATGTACCCAAATTTCCCCATTTTAGCCCCAAATTTCTGCAAAATGCCCATTGACTTTAATGGACAGATGTGGTGTCCCGAAACCATTATTCACTTCAATAGGGTAGACCTGGTGTCCCTAAATCCCTGTTGCATTTATTTGGCTAGACCTGGAGTCTCTAAAAAATTCCTATAGATTTCAAAGATTTCCAAGAAAACCCCAATTCCTTCTAATGAGTAGACCTGATGTCCAAGAAGTTTTGGGGTTAAAAATGCCAATTTCAGGGCTGGAAATTCCCAATTTTTGGTGGGAAAAAGCCCAAACTTTTGTTTCATTTCTCCCACAGATGACCTCGGAGGGCCCAGAATGACAGCGATGCTGGACAGCTCCACCCTGGCTGAGCTGTGGTGCTCAGGGAAGGGGTGGCCATGCCCCTGCCACACTTGGCTATCCTCCCCCTGAAGGCAGGAGGGTGGGGTCCGGGTGGGCGTGTCTTGGGGTGGGCCGTGGCCACCACACCCCTGGCACACCTTGATGGGCAACATGAGTTCTGCAACCTCCCTGCCCCACCCTCTGACTGCCCTGCCCACCTGGAGGTCACCTGGGCAGCTGGCTCTGTCCTCCATGAGGTGACACTCCTACCAGGTGAGCGCACGCTCACTTCAGCCCTGCCCACTTTTAGCCACACTCTTTTCTCACCTTGTCACGCCCCTTCCTCAGCTGGCCACACCCTTTTTTCAGCTGGTCACACACTTTCCTCAACTGGCCATGCCCTTTTCTCACCTGGCCACACCTTCTTCTCTCCCAGGTGAGGCCGACACTTGGATTACGGGAGTTCTAGGCACAGCTACAATGTCTCTCAGTTGGGTGTGGGGCACGGTGGGAGATGAAGTCACGGCTGGAATAGCACTCTATGGGAACCGCAGAGCATGATGGGACCTGTAGTCCCGGAAGTGGCTTGGACAGGGCATTTGGGGGTCTGGGAAGGCACTTTGGGGACACTTTTGCGTCTGAACGGTGACTTGAGGTGCACGGGGGAGAACCTATACAGTTCAGGAGCACTTGGGGGGAGCTTGGGGAGCTCTAACCGGGTTCTTTAGGGCGCGGGGCACGGCAGGAGTTTTAGGTGGGGAGCTGTTTTCTGAGGGGCTCTGAGGCTGCAGGGGATGACAGGAAATGAATTGCCAGAAGTGGCTGTAATGGGCATATATGGGGATGGGAGTAATTGGGGGTCCAGGGATGTTTTTGGGGGGTCCAAAACGGGTGCTGAGGGGGCACTTAGGGATCCTGGAGGGACTGGGGGACACTTATGCAACGTGTGGGGGATGGACACTGGGGTTCTGTGGAGCACGAGGTATGACGGGCGTTGTAGTCCCGGCCCCACTGGGGCTCAATTGGGCCGCGGGACTTGATGGGAGTTATAGGCAAGAAGAGAAAAGATGGCGCCGACACCAGGCACCGCCCCCAAAGGCCCGAACCCCAGCACTGATTGGCTGTGGGTGGTGATGGGCGGGAGTCTCGGCAAATGGGAGGCAGCGGAGGCAGGAACAGCCCATTCCACCCCTCCAGTCCTTCCCAGTACAGCCCAGTCCATCTACAGTACGGCCCAGTACAACCCCACTGCCCCTCCTGGCCGTCCCAGTACACCCCAGTCCCACCCAATACACCTGAGTTCATTCCCAGTCCCTTCCAGTTCCTCCCAGTGTCATCCATAGTACGCCCCAGTGTCCCCCTAGTCTTCCCCGCAGAGTTCCTAGTGTCCGCACTCTGTCCCAGTATTTCCAAGTATCAATCCCAATATGTCCCAGTATTTTTCAGTGCGCCCCCACAGTCCATTCCAGTCCACCCAGATTCTCCCTCAGCATTCCCTGTGTTCCCAGGTTGTCCCAATCGTTCCCAGTATCACTCCCAGTATGACCCAGCATATCCCACAGCATTCCCAGTGTTCCCCAATGTGTCCCAGTCCTCCCCAGTGTTTCCAAGGAAACTTGAACTTCTCACAGTTGTCGTTTCACCCAATCCCAGCAGTGGGGTCAGTGCAGTGGCCATGGCTACAGCCCGTGGCAGTAGCCCAGTGCAGTTTGGGATGATGATCCACCCTCACAGCTGGCCCAGGGCAGCTCTGGAGTGCTTTTGGTGGCACCTTGGGCTGGCACACACCTGAGGAGTGTGTTTGCAGTGGGGAAAATTAGGAGTTTTGCATTGCTTAAAAAAGAAAAAGAAGGAAAAACATCTCTTTGCCTGACTGCAGCCAGTTCTCCAAGCAAAGCAGGTCCCAGGTAAGTGAGGACAGACAGGATGGGGTTGGGGAATGTGGAGCAAGGCTGTCCACACTGGCTCAGATCTCAAGGCACAGCTTCTCTGAGCAGGCCAGACCTCCTGAGGACAGACCCTGCATCAATATCAACCACAGAATGCTGCAATCACCTCTGCTCTAAAATGAGCAGTAATAAAATACACCCTTAAAAACTGGAATGGATATTTCTTACACGGTCTTTTAAATATTTCTCCATAACTATAGCAAGAAACCTTCCTCATGAACTGCACCAGACCAGAGGGAAATCAAGACAGAGCCATGGTTTGTCAGGAGTTGCTTGACCCCAATAAGACCTGTGGTGCATTTGGTGCTGAGTCCTTGAACCTCAGGGACTAAGAGGAGATTGCACAAACCCTTCCAGGAGTCCAATTCAGAAGAATCTTTCAGCTGCTGCACATCCCTGTGCCTTGGGCTTGCCCAGACTCCTTCTGGGGGACGTGTTGTACCAAAGCTCTTCCCTGGGAGAGAGATTCATTTCTCCTTGTTTGCAGTCTGGGCCTGCCCAACTGTATTAATTGTTTCTTTCTCTGGATATTCTCTACTATGCCAAAAGGATCTGAAAGGATCTCTGAAACTGCCCATCAATCCCTCTCAGGGCTCTCCTCTGCTGTCCTCAGTCTCCAGCCCACTGAGCACAGAGCTCCTTTGACCACTGTAAAGTGGTCATGTGCTTGAGGCCATGGGCACCTGGACTGTATGACAGTTGTCTGTAGGAAGGAAAGCACAGAAGCCCAGGGTTTTGAAGGCAGATGAGAGGCAGTCACCAGAGGCCAAGGCAAGCTTGACCTGTTTGTCTTTGTCTGGAAGCAATCCTTGGATACACGGAATATGGGAGGCCAAATCCCCGTTCTGTCCATGGGTGTCAGGACAAGAAGGATAGTTCTTTTCCATAGGAAGGAAAGTAGGGAGCCCCCGTGTTTCAAAGGCAGATGAGAACAGGCCCTCAGTAAGCCAAGGGAACCTACACAGTCCTGGCAGCTTTTGTCTGGGAGCTATCCTTGCATATATATGGAATTTTGGAGGCAGACTCCCAGTTTTGGCCGTGGATGCCTGCACTTGAAAGATGTTTTTCCATGGGAAGAGAAGGTTCAGGTGCTGCCTCTGGGGCATGCGGGGCTTGGCACGGGGGCAAGCAGGGAAGGGAAAAACGGACACGGGGACAAACGGCTCCAGGGCTTCAGCTGCAGCAGCAGCAGCAGCAGCAGCAGCAGCAGCAGCAAAACAAACAATTTTGTCGACTCTGTTTCCCCTGTCCCTCTCCTGCTGTCCCACACCCTCTCCCGCAGTCCCGCACCCTCTCTCGCTCTCCCTTTCCCAGTGTCCCCCCCGTCTCCTAGTCTCCGTCTCCCTCTCCCCGTTCCAGGCCGGGCCATGCCCCCGGCCCGCCCCCGGCCCCGGGCGGGGCTGCCCCGGGCGGGGCTGCCCCGGCCCCGGCTGCCCCGGCCCCGGCTGCCCCGGCCCCGGCGGCCCCGGCTGCCCCGGCCCCGGCTGCCCCGGCCCCGGCTGCCCCGGCCCCGGCTGCCCCGGCCCCGGCTGCCCCGGCCCCGGCTGCCCCGGCTCCGGCCCCGGGCGTCCCGCTGCGGTCTCGCCTCCGCCCGCCTCTGGGCGTGCTGGCGGTGGCGCTAATGGGCGGGCATCAGTGGCTGGGGCGGCATCGCCGCCTTTGGCTCCACCTGGCCCGAGCCCGGCCCCAGCCCCAGCCCTGGCTCCTCCCGGGGCCCGCGGAGGACACACGCGTCGCGGCCGCTCCCGCCGCCTACGCTGCGGCTCCCCCGGCCCGAGCTCCACCGCTCGGCAGCGCGGCCGCCGGCCCCGAGCTGCCGCCTTCCCGTTCCACAGAGCGAACGCCTGGGGCTGCCCGGCCCGGGGCGGCTGAGGGGCGCTCGGGGGCCGTTCCTGGCCCCGGGCCGAGCGCTGACAGCCGCGTCTCGCCGGTAGGGAAAGGCGCAGCAGGGCCTGAAGGAGCGGTACCGGGTGGGTTCGCTGCTGGGGCGCGGCGGCTTCGGCAGCGTCTGGGCGGCGACGCGGCTCTCGGACGGCGCCCCGGTGAGTGGCGGAGCCGGCGGCGGGCACAGGAGGAGGGGGCGCGGGAGGAGGAGGATGGGGCTCGGCAGAGCGGGAGGCGAGCTCAGCCCGCTGCTGCCCTTGGCTTACAAGTGGTCATCAAAATGGTGCCACGGAGCCGCGTCCGGCACTGGGACGAGCTGGTGAGTGAGCGGGGCCAGCGGGAGAAGGCGAGGCGTGCCGGGCGGGGATGAGCCGAGGCCCGGTACGGTGGAAGCCACCAGGACCCTTGAGGAAGAGCGGGCGTGGGGCCAGCTGAGCATCCCGGGCTGCATGAGGGCTTCCCGAACCCTGGCACGGCACCAGCCCCGCTGACGGCATCGTGGTCTTCCCGCAGCCCGACGGCACCAGCGCACCCCTGGAGATCGTGCTGCTGGACAAGGTGTCCACCGGCTTCCCTGGTGTCATCCGGCTGCTGGAGTGGCTTGAGCTCCCCAACAGCATCGTGATGGTGCAAGAGCACCCGGAGCGGTGCCAGGACCTTCATCATTTCATTCGGGCGTGGGGGTTCAGGTCCGAGGAGGTGGCGCGGGAGCTGTTCCGCCAGGTGCTGGAGGCCGTGCGGCACTGCACCAGCTGCGGGGTCCTGCACAGGGACATCAAACCAGAGAACATCCCGGTTGACCTGGTTGCCACCGGGCAGGCAAAATTGATTGATTTTGGCTGTGGCACCTACCTGCAGGTTACAGCCTACACTCACTTTGCAGGTAAGCCCACACAGCGGTGTGCTCCCGGTCCCGGCATCTCCTGGCCCAACATCTCCTGGCCCAGCCTGGGTGTGGTAGTGGGGATTCTCCCGTTTGCTGCCAGTCATGGCACTGAGCCTTCAGCCGAGTTGCTTTTGAGTTGGGGCAGGTGGGGGGCTGGCTTCCAGCCTTGCTGGCAGCCTTTGCAAGCCACTCTGCCCAGGACTGGGGCTGGGGCTGGGGCACCCAGCCTGACAGAAACACTTGTGGGTGGGGGTAGGCAGAGAGATGGGGCCAGAACCTGTGCACCAGCTGGTTTGGTGTGCAGATGAGAAAGGGCTTGGAGTGCTGTGCTAGCCTTATTTTCCGTGGCCTCATAATGTTTTTTGGGCCATGCAGACAGGGAGAATGAAAACATGGATTTTCCCACCACTGAGTGGGTTTTTCCTTGTCATGGTCAGGCCTTGCAAGGGCTTCCACTGCCCTCTTCCAATACCAGTGGCTTCTTTTCCAACCCCATGTTTGTACACAAGTCCCAGGTGCTGGTGAGAGGGCAGCGGGTCACACCATGTGCCACTGGGGCAGCCCTCCCCAGGTTGCTGGGGCCAGGCTCTGGGAGCAGCAGCATCCCCTAATGAATGCCATCTGTATTCCATAGGAACACAGTCCTACAGCCCCCCAGAATGGACCAAGTTTGGCTGGTACTATGGCAAGCCAGCTACCATCTGGTCCCTGGGCATCCTGCTGCACCAGATGGTCTGCGGGGAGCACCCTTTCAGGAGGGGCCAGAACATCAGCTGGGACCATCAGCTCTCGCTGCCACAACGGCTCTCTCAAGGTGGACCCGCATCTCTGGGCATGGGGGGAATACCAGTGCTGGGAGACAGCAGCAGGCTCGTGAGCATCCTGCTCTGGCAGCTGCTGAGGGGGTGGCACATCTCCTGCTCCTGGTCTCCTCCAAGACAGAGAACTGATGGGAAGGTTTAGGCCCAGCTCTGAGCACAGGCAGCATGGTCTGGGCATGGGAACAGTGGGGCAAAGGGACTGGAGACTTCTCCAACTGACCGGCAGTTTCTGGTTTCTCTCCCCAGATCCACCTGATCAGGTGGTGTTTATCCATGCTCGACATGGAAAGGTCCTCATTAGAAGATCTGATCAGTGATCCTTGGATGCAGAATATTCATCAGCCGTAGAAGAAGGGAGAGAACCACAGGCATGCTTTGATGCAGGGTCCTGGTAAGTTACAGCTCCACCCATGCCCTGGCAATCAGAAGCAAAGAACCCCAGACTTTTTTGTCCTGCCTGTGTCACTGCACGGGGGTCATCAGATGGGAACACGCAGCCCTTGTGCTGGAGCTCAGCTGCTCTGCCCAGCAATGGTGGCCACCATCTGAGCTGGTTTGGCTTGTCCTGGTTCACTGACAGCTGGGGCCCTGGGCAGAACACTGACAGCCTGGTCTCACCCCCAGGAAAGCAGAAGGAGCTCCTGGAGCAGCTGTACCAGGTGGGGCTGCTGCTGCTGGGGACAGCAAAGAAGACATCACGAATGACAACCTCTTCCTCTACCTGGCCACTGGCAAGCTGAAGATGATGGACTTGGATTCTGGCACCTTCTTCAAAGCCAGGCTCCACAGTGAATTTGCAGATGAGTCCAGACCCAGGGGGATGCTCCCAGATTTGGGCATTGCACAGCTTGGCTGGGAACCAAAGGTTCCCTCTTTGTTGGGGAGGATAAAATGGATTCTTCAGTTAGCTGCCAAGCTGCTTTTTGGCAGGGCTGGGGGCATGGGCTGGGGTGGGTACGAAATGGGAGTTGGCTCCTGACCCTGCCAACAGCCCCCAGTGCCCACTGTGCCCTGGGCTGGGGCTAGGGCTGTGGCTGGGGCAGCCACCCTGACACAAACAAACCCCATGGCAGGAGCAGAGGTGGGACTCCAGAACTGTGCATGGCTGCTTTGCTTTTGTGATAGGTTGACTTAGGAAGAAGAAACTCAGAAGAGATTCTTCCTAAGGGAATTTCCTCTGTGGGGGTTGGGATACCTGCAACAGCCAATTAGAGAAAGTTAGTTCGCCCCGCGAACACACATTTTGAGGAAGGTAATCCGGAACTGACCCTCTTTGTCTTCCGGCGGCTGAGCAGGTAACATCAACCCGAGCTTCCCTCTCCCCCATGCGGGGAGGAGGCTCGGGAGGCCGCTTGGGCCCCGTTTGCCAACGAGGGGGACCCGATGGCC